GGCTGCATTTCAGGGATAGATAAAGGGACCCCTCTATATACAGAATAAATGTTTGTGTGATATGATTTAAAGGTTTTATTGGAATGACTTTTGGATGCCTAGAGTATATCATGCCTATCACTGTACTTTATGCAATGTAACCACATTGCATGCAACATGATTTTTAGAGACACTTGCAGACTTGTTTTCTAAAACCAAGACCCACTCCTTACACCACTGCAGCCCAAAAATCCTGTGTGCCTACTGTGGCTAGAAAACTCCCCCCTTTCCCCACCACCAATACAAGATTAAATCCATAAGGAAACTGGATAAACAGAAGAGAGGGTGCTGCAGGAGCATTTTATTGGACACCGGGGCAGCCAGACAAAACAAAACAAAAGACTTCTGATGGCTCTAATTGTTCCCTAAGCCTGTGCATCGGTTAACTGTTCTGAATAAACAGAAACATAATAAAATATTTAGATTTCTACAGCATTATCTAAGGAACTCAGAGCACTTTACAGATATTAATGGGTCTCACGACTCCTCACCCCTGCAAGGTGCTGTGTATAAGTACTATAACCCTATTTTATAAAAGAGGAAACAAACACAGAACTATAGGGCCAATCCCTGGCATTTTAATTGGGCAAAAATCCAACTGGAATCAACATCGTTTTCCCTGAGTAAAGATGGCAAAATATTGCATTGAGGCTAATAAAATTGATCACGGACTGGGAGTTCCTCAAATTGAATGTCCAATTTGATACACACTGAATCTGATTTTCAGAAATCCTGGGAACCCACAACATCCATTAACTACAGCTAGGCTGTGTCTAGATTGTCAGTGTTCTTGTGGAAATCCAAGCAGCCAGGGTAGACAGCTGGCAAGTTTTTCCGCAAAATCTGCTTTTGCGGAAAAACTTGCCAGCTGTCTACCCTGGCCGCTTGGATTTCCACAAGAACACTGACAATCTCATGTAAGATCGTCAGTGTCCTTGCGGAAATACTGTGCTGCTCCCGTTCGGGCAAAAGCCCTCTTGCGCAAATCATTTGCGCAAGAGGGACAGTGTAAACAGCACAGTACTGTTTTCCGCAAAAAAGCCCCCATCGCGAAAATGGCGATCCGGGCTTTTTTGCGGAAAAGCACGTCTAGATTAGCCACGGACATTTTTCCGCAAAAAGTGCTTTTGTGGAAAAGCGTTCTGCCAATCTAGACGCGCTTTTCTGAAAATGCTTTTAACGGAAAAGTTTTCCGTTAAAAGCATTTCCAGAAAAATCATGCCAGTCTAGACGTAGCCCTAGAGTTTTAAGGTGCTTGGTATATACCAAAAGAAGAATGAACAAGCCACAGTATCTCAACTCTGGTTCCCAGAATCAGAAGCCACTTCTGACATTTCCTCTATAAGCAATCTACCCCAGTGGCACACACAGGCTACGTCTAGATGGGGCCAAATGGTGGAAAAACTTCCAAAAAAAAAGCGGAAAAAACTATGCAAATGTAGAGTGCATTTTGTGTAGCTTTTTCCACAAAAACACCACAGTATAGACCTAGCCTCAGAGAGGCAATGCTGGGAATAGTTCCCCTATAAGCACAGTGTATTTTAACCTAGATCATTTGCTAATGTTTATAAAGCACTGTGAGAATGAGATGTGCTAGGTAAGTGCTTAGTTTTATTGACGACAGCTGTACACTTGACAAGGATTTCTTTTTGTGGAGAGAGCTCCATAAGGTCACTAGCTGCTTTATGCACCAGACCTGGTATTTAAGAAAGTTATATAGAGTTTGTACAGCTACACTTGCATCTAGCCTTTCCCCCACCCTTTTTTTTGACCATTAAAAAATCGGGGCACAGAAACTGACTTCCCCTCAGGACTTGCCAAGTGCTCAGTTTTGTTCCATTTTGCTTTTTCTTTCCACCCTTCCTCTTTTGACACACAATCCTCTAATATGAAAATAAAGTATGTGGCAAATGAGAAGCAAAGCTCTGCGGTGGTCACTGATTCCTTTGGATTCCGCTTCCCTGTCAGTTTTGTTCTAACCTGGCAGGGGATTTAAATTGATCAAAATGCTACAGCTTGAAGCACTACAGTGCAGAATCCTTGTCAATTTAAGCCCCTGCAGGCTCACAGGGACAGAGCTGGCAGGGAAGCAGAGGGCTAATGAACATATGCACTCAAGTCACATGCACACATGCCAATTAAAACCAGAGCCCTTGATGCATTTCTTTGGGGTTCCCAGCTCTTCAGTTAGAATACTGCAGCACTAATCTGGGAGGCTGGAAGATATGCTGTTGCTGTATCACACAGCTACATTGAAATAAAAATGCAAGTTTTAAGGGGAAAGATCAGAGTAAAGGTCTTTTTTGCAGCATCTTGTTAAATGTTGTATAATAGTTACAAGATATGTGTAGTTTTATCTTTTTTTTGGACTATAACAAATACTAATTCATCTATAGTATCCTGGGACCAACCTGGCTGCAGTAGCGCTGCATACACAGAATAAAGTTGACATGGCTACAACTCTGCAAACAACACAGAATAAAGTTCAAACCACCCTGATGGTGAGTATAAAATGCCGATCAGCACATGTGTGCTTTGCTGCCATCCTGTGGCCAATCTGGGTGCTCATTGAAGGCAACAGTAAAGCACACCTTTGTCCAAATGTTTCACCTTCTTTCCATGTGCTAGTATTGACAAACTGCAGGAGGTCTTGTGGACAGGTGAAGATAGGCCTCTCAACAGATGTTTCTCCAAACGGAAGATTTTTTTTCTTCCTCAGAATCACCCTTTTTCATTTTGAGTTCTATTTAAGCACCAATGTGCACATCAATGTAGAATGTAGACAGATACAGACAGTCCTTGTCCTGATTACGGTGTTCCAGACTGAACACAAAAGGACACTCTGAGTGAATACTGTTAAGATCACAAGGACGGTGTTCATGGGCTTCAAAAAGAGACCTTTTAGGAGAAGCAGATGAGGCCTGCTTCAGGAAGTTATTCCATGCACAGAAAAGAGCAAGGAATTTGGCACAAAGACAGGAGTGGGACATGGAAACAAAAGCAGTAGTGACAGCACAAGTCAACAGAGCAAAGAGGATTTGCAGGAACACAGTAAGATCCAAGATGCAGTGGAAGGAGGATAGTCAAGCGAGGCCTTGAAAGCAATAATAGGAAATTTAAACTTGAATTGGTGGGAAAAGGGGGAGCCCACTGGAGTTCCCCCTTTCCAGCTGATTAAGGAAAAAAAATTGCCAGAGCATCTTTTAAGCCAAATCTTGCTTTCCTTATGGAAAACTCCTATTAACTCCAATTTGGAGTTTTCTGAGAGTATGATTAGCATGATTTCGCCCACTGTGTACCAGAAATATTTATTAGAGGTCCAATGATCTTACACCTATGCAAGGACTTTAGCAAAGTCAAAATTGAAGCAGGGACTATTTTGTGTTATGTGTGTATACAATATCTAAAACGATGGTGCCCCTTTCAATTTCGCACTACAGATAAATAATAACTTGGTATTGATGTTCCCTATGAAGTCACCACCGAACAAGTCAATATTTTGGTTTATTCTATCAAAAAAATCTTGTACTAAAATATCTGGAAAAAATTAAAGGAACTTAATAATGAAAGGGGAAAATGAAATGCTGAGAGGCAAAGGAAAGAAAGCTACACCCAACAGACTGTTTGAAACACAAATGAAAGAGAGAGAGAGAGAGAGAGAGAGAGAATGTGTGTGTGCGTGTGCATGCGCTCCCTAGCATTTGCCACTGGCAAACAATAAAATGAGGTTGCCTTTAGAGTCTTCACCATGACTATATGTCAGCCGACGGTCAGGGCAGTGTGTGCGTGTGTGTTACACCCAAGTCTTCAACTGCTGAGACGCAAGGTCTCGTTGCAGTGGGCAGCCTAGGAGGCTGGAGGGCAACCCGAAAAGAGTCTAACGTCCGTGACTTTACTGCTAGGACGGGGTCCCGTCGCAGAGGGCAGCCAACAGGCTGACAGATGCCCCGAGTTTATAGGAAGAGCTTATTACATCTCAGATTTCAGCTGGTAGGATACAGGATCCCTTCGCAGCGGGCAGTCTAGGGAAGACTGAGAGATGCCCCAACGGATCTGTCACCTGGGAGAGACACGATCCAAGTGCCCAAGTTCTTCCTATACCTGTCCCTTACAACCGGCTAAAGTTCTTTTAAATTGTGCTTGGTTCTGTTACAGCAACTGAAGGAGTCAGGTTAAAGCTTAATCAGTTACAGGTTTATTAAAGAAGCTTATAAATCATATGGTTACAATGGCTATTGCTCTCTTTCTTAACTGCTAGCAAATATAGTTCTTAAAAAAAGGTTACACAGAAAATAAAGATAGAAAATAGAAATAATGTTACCAAGTGACAGATTAATCTTTAAAGAGCTCTAAGTCTATGTGTACACTTAAGACAAAGGACCACATCCAGGTACAATTTTTACCCCCTTCTGTGCCTTTTGACTCCAGCGTGTCAGGCCAGGGCCAGTCCCTCAATTCCTAGGAAAGACGAAAATACGAGGTGGGCATCCCCGTGGAACCTCGGGAGGTCAAACACCTAACCCGACCAGCAGGTAGA